CGATAGCCGCTGTGGTGGAGATGAGAGACGGCAGCGAAGTATTCAAGAATTCTATCAAGTCCATCCAGATAAAAACAAAGTCATCCCCTTTCCTCTACAGTTCACAGAAGATTGGTAGAATTTTTTTTACGGATTTTAAAGACTATAGAGATAAGGAACCGTAGCTTAGTTCATCTGTTGATATAACATTTTAATGTCAACTTAACCTAACCTAACTTAACCTGATAATTAAACATCATAGCCTAACCTAACCTAACCTGATAATTAAGGACCCTAAACTAACTTAGTTGTATCTAACCTAATCTAACCTAACCTAACCTAACCTAACCAAACCAAACCAAACCAAACCTAACCTAACCTGATAATTAAAGATCCTGAGCTAACTTAACCATATGTAACCTAACCTAACTTAACCTAACTTATTTTGTGGTAGAAACGACATTCACATACTCGATGGCTTAAGTTCACTCCTCCAAATAGAGTCATATTTTTACTCCTATTCATAAATGTCATTTCTTTCTTAGTTTGTGAGACGGCGTTCGATTATGACAGAATGCCAAGGAAGTTTCATTCTTAAATTTAAAAGGACTGATGGATGATATTTACTTCCCAACCCACGCTGACTATGACGATGAAAAATATGCCTTCAGAGTAAGGCCTTTCGGGAGCCGAGTTTTTCACGACATTTCAGCTTCATTAGTGAGTTAACAAGTAAATACATATTATAGAGGATTTTACAATTTTAATATTACATTTATGAAAAGCAAAAAAAAAATCATAGATAAAATGTTAAGTAACCCAACCAATAATTAGGTAAGTGCTAAGAATTGATTTAGTTTTTATGGACATTTATTTCACTGGCTTCCATTTTTTTTCTGCAGCACTGATTTACTGTTTACGTTAATAAATTAGATTTTTAGAAGAACTTACACTGTTTTGAAGGTAACCATGACTCCTAGAAGCAAGCGAATTATAAAGATGATAGGATTTTGTTAAGAACGTAAATCACCAAAGAATAACAAGGACGATGCCTCTGTTTACACATTACTCACGAATACCAATACAGCACTAAATAAACAATACACAATTATTTCACTGTTGTATGATAATGTATGCTTCTAAACATCTTTCTCCATTAATATCGTTCTTGTTCACAACTTTCAGTAGTATCAATATATCAGATCCTTCCTCGAGCGATATCATATTCCTCATTAGTGTCAACATTAAGGACGCGCCGGCAGGGTTGTGGAAGAGGGTGACAAGTTCGGTCTGGTGGGTACGGTGACTTAAAGGCGGGGTGGAGTAGACCCTACCACCCTATTACCCTGCCACGGATTCAAGTTGGATAAGTTTAAGTTTAGGAGGGAGATAGGAAGAAACTGGTTCACAAATAGGGTGGTGGACGAGTGGAACAAGCTTAGCAACTTTGTAGTAAGTGCGGGAACTCTGGAAAGTTTCAAAAGGAGGCTAGATAGATTCATGGATGATAGAGAGTGGTAGTAACTCTCGACAGGAGCTGCCATGCACAGGCCAACCGGCCTATTGCAGACTCCTTATTTTCTTATGTTCTTATGTACCCTGCCGCCCTACTACCCTGCTACCCTACCACCCCTACCGCCTTGCCACCCTGTGTTCATTAACGAGGACTTGCATTTGAGAATTTTTTTTTTACTCAAGCACCGATTAAGGGGTCACGTCAAGGGTTCATAATTTATGGCACAATAATGATTTCTTTTAGAGACTGTGGGGGAGTGGGGGGGGGGGCGAGTGGACACAACGTTCGCCTCCAGTCCTAAGAGTGGCAGTTTTGATCCCGGGGAACTTAACCTAATCTAACTTGAGCTAATCTGGTTTAACCTAACCTATCTTAACTTAATCGTACCTAACCATGCTCTTGACCCAATCGAACCAGACCTAGATTAACTTAACGATACTTGGATAGTTTTTGCTAGGACTTTCACTAATGACTCAATCATCTTGTATGTGGTAGTCATCATCCAACATCATCAATACCCTTGTCTCCATTACGGACTGAATTATCTTGTTCGAGGTTCTTATCAAAACATCACCATCTTGACTTATCACTATGTAGCTCACCTTCCCTAGCCTCGTGACGTCACACCAACACGACTCCTATTGTGCAGGTAAAGTTAGCATATCTCTGGTTCATGTATCAGAAATCTTTACCCATGAAGGTAAAACACTGCACTCTGCATACAGCGTCAGGGAAGGTGATTCACTCTCGGCATTGTACCTTTATTAACCTATAAATACCAGCGAATAACTCTTTTGTTTTTGTTCCAGGTCAGTTTCTCAAGGTATATTTCACAGAGGAATGTCGTTACTTGGTTTTATTGCGGGGTTGGTAACGACGTCCATCACTCCTGGAGGACCATCAACTGTTGTGTGGTGTGGTGTGTGATGTTGGGTAGTGTGGTGTGTGTGTGTAGTGCATCATACAGTGTGGTGTGGTGTATGGTGTTATGTGCTGTGGTGGTGTGTGTGGTGTGGGGTGTGGTGTTCGTGTGTGTGTGTAGTGCATTGTGCAGTGTGGTGTGGTGTATTGTGTGGTGTGATGTGATGTATTGTGTGGTTTGATGTGTGTTGTGTGGTGTGTAGTGTATTGCAGTGTGGTATGTGTTGTGGTGTGGTGGTGCTGTGCTGCGGTGTGTGGTGTGGTGTGTGTGTGGTGTGGTGTGTAGTGTGATGCGTTGTGTGGTGTGGTGCGGTGTGTGGTGAGTGGTCGGTGTGGTGTGGTGTGTGTGTGGTGTGTGTGTGTGGTGTGTGTGTGGTGTGTGTGGTGTGTGTGTGTGTGTGGTGTGGTGTGTGGTGTGATGTGTTGTGTGGTGTGGTGTGTGGTGTGGTGCGGTGTGTGGTGTGATGCGGTGTGTAGTGTGGTGGGTGTGTGGTGTGGTATGTGGTGTTGTGTGGTGTGTGTGGTGTGTTGTGGTGTGGTGTGATGTGTTGTGTGGTGTGGTGTGGTGTGGTGTGATGTATTGTGTGTGTGTGGTGTGGTGTGGTGTGATGTATTGTGTGGTGCGGTGTGTGTGTGTGTGTGGTGTGTGTGTGATGTGTTGTGTGTGTGTGGGTGTGTGGTGTGATGCGGTGTGTGTGTAGTGGTGGTGGGTGTGGTGTGTGGTGCGGTGTGTGGTGTGGTGTGGTATGTGGTGTTGTGTGGTGTGTGTGGTGTGTTGTGGTGTGGTGTGATGTGTTGTGTGGTGTGTGTGTGGTGTGTGGTGTGGTGAGTGTGATGTGTGTGTGTAGTGCAGGGTGTGGTGTGGTGCGGTGTGTGTATGGTATGTGGTGTTGTGTGGTGTGTTGTGGTGTGTTGTGTGGTGTTGTGCGGTGTGTGGTGTGGTGTGTTGTGGTGTGTGTGTAGTGTATTTTTGTGTGGTATGTGTGTGTGTGTGTGTGGTGCGGTGTGTGGTGTGGTGTGTGGTGTGGTGCGGTGTGTGTGTGTGTGTGTAGTGTATTTTGTAGTGTGGTATGTGGTGTTGGGTGTGTTGTGCGGTGTGGTGTGGAATATGGTGTGGTGTGGTGTGATGTGTGGTGTTGGGTGTGTTGTGTGGTGTGTTGCGTGATGAGTTGTGTTGTGTGGTGTGTTTTGTTGTGGTGTCTGCCACACTGACTTGCCTTATACTACCATACCACGCAACTATTACACCACCTCTGTCATCTGGATATATATACTGTATATATAAATATATATATATATATATATATATCTTGATAAAATCACACGGAAAAAGGGAAACAACGGAGCACCTTAGCTTTCGTCTTTATTCAAGACATCTTCAGAAGCAACTGGATTACATGGACAGAGAGAGGCTTAAATATACAGGGTGACCTTATAAAACATGAGGTCAGGTCATAATGATGTCATCCACTAATCCCCACACCAACACACACGTAGAGGAGCTTAAGAGAAGGGGGGTGACGTGACTAGTCAGGTCAGGTCAAAAATAAGGGACCCATTAATAACTATCATACATCTAGATCATAGGTTTTCAAAGCATTTTTAACCTTGGGCCACTGACAAATAAATTTATGTTACATATTATCAGTTTTGAACTGACCATCACTAAGGATTATTGATTTTAATTCCTTAATCAAACTATCTTCAACCAGAAGTCTTTCTGTGACACAAGATGATTTAAATACTTCTAAGCTTTTTTCCCAAGCAATGGGATGATTATTATTCCGAACATGAACGAACAGCTTATATATATATATATATATATATATAACATTTTATGTATCAAGTAAATAAAGTCTCCAGACTGAGCCATCATCACCGCCAGTGTTTCATGAAGTAGTTCCCGGTATTGACTGACTCACCACCTGCCAGCTGGTGCCAGGTGTCATGCGTGTATTGATCACTTGCTTCCATTGTGTCAGGTGTCACAGACCAATTAGTCAGCTGTTTGCACTTGAGCCGATAGTCAAATGTTCGTCGAATGGTGGATCACGAAAACCTTTTACAGACATATTAAAAAAAGTACAGTACTCGTACAGTAAATTAATGGGGGAGACGCCATAACCGAAGTATCGTACCCGAGGTGTTTCAGACGAGACTTACACACAAGACAAACTCAAGTGTACTGTACCATCAGACAACATAGACCCGTATAAACAACACAGTTTATGACACTCGTAACCCGACGGAACTACACCACACTACTACAAACAACGAAACACAGTAATTCAAAATGGACAAAACGATCTATAACGAAGGTGTGAAATGAGCATCAAGGTTACAAAAACCCATAGAATAGTAATCAACGGCAGTACAGTGCGTTCCGTCGTATTCTACTGTTACTCCTACAGCTCACAAGGTCTTCACTAACCTAAAGAACCCGAGTAAATCCGACGCTTCTGAATATCTCTTGAATTACCACATATATTTTTAACATATCAATAAGGAATAAACTCCTCAAGACTTTCATTATATTTTATGTTATATATTCGTCTAAATAATCACCTCAGTAGCAAGAGGCACTATGCACAGAAGGCACGAGAGGCACTATACACAAGAGGCAGGTAGAGGCACTATACACAGAAGGCACGAGAGGCACTATTCACAGAAGGCACGAGAGGCACTATACACAGAAGGCACGAGAGGCACTATACACAGAAGGCACGAGAGGCACTATACACAGAAGGCACGAGAGGCACTATACACAGAAGGCACGAGAGGCACTATACACAGAAGGCACGAGAGGCACTATACACGAGGGCACGAGAGGCACTATACACAGAGGCGCACGAGAGGCACTATACAGAAGGCACGAGGCACTTATGCACAAGAGGTAGGTAGAGGCACTATACACAGAAGGCACGAGAGGCACTATGCACAGAGGCACTAGAGGCACTATGCACAGAGGCACGAGAGGCACTATACACAGAAGGCACGGAGAGGCACTATGCACAGAAGGCACGAGAGGCACTATACACAGAAGGCACGAGAGGCACTATACAGAGGCACGAGAGGCACTATGCACAGAGGCACGAGAGGCACTATACACAGAGGCGAGAGGCACTATACAAGAAGGCACGAGGGGCACTATGCACAGAGGCACAGAGGCACTATACACAGAAGGCACGAGGGCACTATGCACAGAAGGCACTAGAGAGGTACTTATACACAGAGGCACGAGAGGTACTATGCACAGAGGCACTGGAGGGCACTTGATCACAGAAGGCACGAGGAGGCACTATACACAGAAGGCACGGGGGGCACTATACAGAAGGCATCAGACGTGAGGTGTCTCCAGCAGCTGTCTGAGCCGCCTGCTTCTGGCCATTGTTCAGGCTACTGTGGTCTATGTGAGCCACCACACCTGTCTCCTCCTCTCCTTCCATCTCCACCTGTCTCTCCACCCACCACCACCACACACCTGTCTCTCCCTCTCCCTCCATCTCCACCTGTCTCCTCCACCACCACACACCTGTCTCTCCCTCTCCCTCCATCTCCACCTGTCTCCCTCCACCACCACACCTGTTCTCCTCCATCTCCACCCTGTCTCCTCTCCACCACCACCACCACACCTGTCTCTCCCTCCATCTCCACCTGCCTCCTCCACCACCACCACCACACCTGTCCTCCCTCTCCTCCATCTCCACCTCCTGTCTCCTCCACCACCACCACCACACCTGTCTCTCCCTCTCCCTTCCATCTCCACCTGTCTCCACCACCACCACCACACCTGTCCTCCCTCTCTCCCTCCATCTCCACCTGTCTCCTTCCACCACCACACCTGTCCTCCTCTCCCTCCATCTCCACCTGTCTCCTCCACCACCACACCTGTCTCTCCCTCTCCCTCCATCTCCACCTGTCTCCTCCACCACCACACCTGTCTCTCCCTCTCCTTCCATCTCCACCTGTCTCCTCCACCACCACCACCGCACCTGTCTCTCTCTCTCCCTCCATCTCCACCTGTCTCCTCCACCACCACCACCACCACACCCGTCTCTCCCCTCCATCTCCACCTGTCTCCACCTCCACCACCACACACCTGTCTCTCCCTCTCCCTCCATCTCCACCTGTCTCCTCCACCACCACCACCACCACACCTGTCCTCCCTCTCCTTCCATCTCCACCTGTTCTCCACCACCCACACCTGTCTCCTCCATCTCCACCCTGTCTCCTCCACCACCACCACCACACCTGTTCTCCCTCTCCCTCCATCTCCACCTGTCTCTCCACCACCACTGCACCTGTCTTCCCTCCATCTCCACCTGTCTCCACCTCCACCTTCCTCACCAACAACAACAACAACCTGCCACCTGATTTAATATTGAGTTTGATGTCCATTTGATTTTTGTTTTCAATATATATTCGTATGATTGTTTCGCTTTCAGTGCTTCCTTTACCTATCTAATCAATTCTTTCCTTTCTGTCCTTCTCCTACTTCTCCTATTTCCTTCTTCCTTTTTTTCCTCCTCCTCCTTATCCTCCTAGTCTCTTCCTTTATCCCTCCTACTTCTACTCTCCCTTCTAATCCTCTTACTCTTTCTAGCCTTCTTCCTCTTTTTTCTGACATCTTTTCTCCTTTTGTCCCTCTTCCTTCTCTTTCTACCCTCCTCCTCTCCCTCCTCCTCCTCCTCCTTCCTCCTCCTCCTCCTCCTCCTCCTCCCTCCTCCTCCTTCCATCTCTTTCTCCTCCTCCTCCTCCTCCTCCACCTAACTCACAGCCACACAAAATCTTTACCCTTGTTGTTGCTAGATTTTATTTCTACTCTTTCAGAATTACTCCAACACCCCTGCTCTCTCTGTTATTGTTCTCACCTTGACTATTGTTTTTTTTTCCACTTTTTGTTTAAGTCTTTTCTCTGTTTTATTCACTTTCATTTCTTTTTATTCTTTTCTCTCTTTCTCTTGATATTTCGTATTTATTTTTAGTCTTTTTCACCTTGTAGTACCTTTTTAGTTTCCTTCCTATTTAATCATACCTGTGTTTCTGACCTCACTGATGGATTCTGGTCTCGCGTGGGGGATTTTTGTCCAAGTGAGTCTTAGCGCCACTAATAGCTAGTTCTTAAGTCACCTTTGTTATCAAGAATTGTGTTATTACTAAAGAATCCAGTCCTTTTGTGGGGTCATTAAGCTCATGTAATTAGGGGTGAGGAGATAATGGTAGAGGTTTAATGAGGGGGGTTGAAGGTAGGAAAGCCAGGAGGAGGATGGTACTCTTGATGAAGGTGAAACAAAGCCTGGGGTCCCCATGAGAGAAGCTAAATTTGGGAGAGGAAAGGACAGTCTGAATAATGTTTAATGTGGAGGTCGTGGTCATAAACCTCAGCCAGGAACACTTGAATATTTATTAATCTTCTATCATCACACACACACACACACACACACACACACACACACACACACACACATGTTATATACAGTAGAGAAAAAGAGAGGCAGAGAGATATAAAACGAAAGAAGAAAAACACGTAAAACAGAACCAAAACATACGTTCTTCGTCAACCTGAGGAAAAACGTAAGGAAAGGATCTCAGTCCCTTCTGACAAACAGACAGAGAGGGAGACAGGAACAGCAACCACACCACAAGAAACATATATTCTTCGTCTTCCCTACCACCCACCAACCCACCTCCCACCAACCCCACCCACAACCCGACCCAACTGCCACCACACCACCATTCATCTATCACCACAACACCTATGGCATAGATCCTCCTACCACCCATAGGCACCCACACCACCACCCATACCATCCACTCACCAACTCACACCACCCATCTACAAACCGCCATCTCGTACCACCCACCCACCGCCCTCAGCTGCCGTAGTCCTGGTATAAAAAAATAAATAAAAGTCCTGTAGTGAAGGCGTTCCTATCCCGACGTGTCTCCAGTTACAATTTTAAATGACTTGTTGTCCTCTGATGCTCTTCTGGTTTGCATACATAACACCAATACGTCGCCCGGTATTAGCCTTACTCACTTCATCCACCCAACACCGTCAACCTGAATATACCTCCTCTCCTCTTTGCTTTTATTATTTCTCCCTTATTTCTCAGTAAAAACATTCCCTCGTGACTTGTTCCTTTGTGTGTGTGTGTGTGTGTGTGAAATTATTATACAGTGTATATACTGTATATACAATTTTTTACTATCAAAGAGTTTTTTCTCTCCTGAATACCACTCGTCCACCACACCATCACCAGCCTCCCCCAACCAGCCTAACGTCTCTTTAGAGGGGACTAGAACACTCAAAGGACACATCAGACAAAAGTAAAAACACACAAGTATCGTGTGTTCGCTACTACAGGTCAACTTTATTTCTCAGAACGACAGGTAAAATTTCCAGGTAAAACTTGGGCTTGCTGATCGAACCACAGAGTTTTGAGGAGGGCTAGTACTGGCCAGTTTCAGGTATATTGTGTGGTGCCAGGTCCTGTTTAAGCTTGTTGGTGCTGGGTGGTCCTGGTTGGTGCTTGTTGGTGGGTGGTGCTGATGCAACTCCTCACACACACACACACACACACACACGAACTCAACTAACGGAAGGTCTCAAACTCCAACTATACCTGAAGACACCAGTAGGAGGGCAAAAGGCAGTATGAGTGATGACCATCGTCCCTCTATACATTAGGAAAATTTGATCCTTCTAACTTCCTCATCAGTAAGTTGGCTTGCGGGCCTATGAAATGCTCTTAGATAAGGGAAAATCACCCAGAGTTACAAGAGTTAGTGGGGAAAGTTTGATAAACCAGTAGTGATGGTTGGAGCCTGGAAGACGTCTAAGCCTTCTTCACTTACAGGTGTAATGACAGCGACACTAAGTGGCAGGGGTTAGTCACTGAGTTTTTGTATGATACTGTGTGGGTGTTATGGTGGTGGTGGTGGGTGGAGCTGGCTAACTTGTGAGAGAAGAAGAGAGAGAAGAGAGTAGAGAGTAGAGAGAGAGAGAGAGAGTGTCATAAGAGCCACCAGGCATCAACATATCAACAGAACCAATCAATTAATCAAGCAATCAAGTTTTGCAAGAGACATCAAAGCCAGGTACAGGTGAGTCGAATCTGGTACACCTGAATAATTAACACTCAACAATATCCAGGTGTATCGATGATGTAAGTTTTAATAAGCAATTGGTGTTTACTGACAAGAAATAAAATATTATTACACCCTGTTAGCCAGACAATAAATAATTAAGACACGGTAGAGAGCAGAAATGACAAATAAAAAGCAGTTGTGAATATTTAGTTTTTCCTCTTTGTGGCCCTGACAACATTAATTTTGTTCTTGCAAAGTAATTTGGGTTAATATTTCCTATACCTTCAAGTCTCATAATATTGCTATATAAAACAACTTGAGTCACCAAATCAGCATCTGGCTCTGTTATGAGGTGGTCGTGGAGATGTTAGCATTTGAATGGCTACAGGAGTACTCCTGGCATTCCACCAGTTGACATAAAATCCTGTTTGATTTTGTTGACATGAGCTCCAAAAGAGAATTTTATATATTCGTTACTTAGTCCACCAATCAGCTTAACTACTTTCGAAAGACATGCTGACAAATGCTTGGGACACAGAAGCTTTTGGTAATAGGAAAGTTTATTTCTCTTTGAATATTCAGGTTGTTTGTGGACCACAGTTACAGATTTTTAACATTGTTACACAGTGACCTGGAAGTTTGCACGACCTTCGTATATTTAATAATAGTAGTATATGCCAGGAATCAGAAGACGGGGTATTTGAGGGCCACTTGCTCGGCGACAGTGGTTATCCAGGTCTTAATTACTTGCTTACACCACTCTTGTTCCTCATAGTAACCAAGACATATAAGCTGCTTCTCTGTTTTCTTGGAGCCAATTGCAGCGGGAATCATATTTCTTGTCATATACTGTATTATTTCTTGTTTTTCGCCAATAAGGGACAACTCAGCTCCTCATCAGTTACGTGCGAATTTCGGGATTAGACTTATTTGAAAATCGCGGCTTCTTCTGAGCGGTGAAATGTTAACAAATGAGCATCGGGCATACTAACGGTATAGATAATAATGTTTCCATGCTCGTGCAAGCACACCAACAGATCCCCGCAACAAGCCCCCTGGGCGGCGGACTTTAACTTCAATGTAAACAAATGTGGCGAAACACGCCCTGCCGCTGGGATACAATTGCAGGCCCCGTTTTTTACCTTTAATAATATGGCCTTTAATTGAGTACATACCCCTTGAGTACGTTGATTGTATAAGTGAGGCGCTTGCACATTTGTCTACAAGCTGAATTATCTCCCGGATGATGGGGACGAGAGTTATCAATCTTTCTACTTCAATACTGACATTAAACTCCCCAGAGACTGTGATTGTTTAT